TTCTCGCAAAGGTGCGCATCGTTTTTTACGTACCCTTTGTTTCTCCTTGCGAAATTACTCGTTTCAGTTTCATACTTTCGTACGATTTTAAACGTTTCGTCCGACGAAACTCGATCGATCGAGCAACGGCGAGGGCGCGAACAAAATTAAATGTCGAAACTAAGGTCGGTGCAGGGCGAGCTAAAAATCATTTGGGTAAATTCGACGAATATTCTCCGGCTGACGTGAATCGATAAGCTTGATAAATGAATATCGTGAAATTAGAACGGGGCCGGTCGCCGTAAATTCCCATCCGCTTGGAGCGCAACGATTATTTCGATCGGTAACAATAATTTCCCGTAATTGTTTTCAATCGCGAAACGTTTGCATTTCTGACTGTTAATCGGCTGGAAGGGATTTGCGAGCGTTTTTCGTCCGCGACACGCGACAATGATGCACGATTTCAGCCAGAACGCGTTCGCGTTCCGTGGTATTACCATTCGTATCACGCGCACAGCTTGTCACACGGGACGACAATATTTCCCGCACCCCGAATTTTAACCTGTTTGCAGCTGCTTAGCGCGCGGCGGTTCGCAATGAAAATTGCAACGATTCGTGTCAAGGTGTACGTGACTTCTCGTTACTTCTCTCGTTCATTTCGTTCGTTGACGCGACAAGACCGAGTCGATCGGCTCGATTAATCAACGGTTTTCCAGATCGTTCGATCTCTCCTGCCCCGATACTTTCGTCAACCCGCTAACCGCGTGTCCTCGATCCTCGAAAGTGGGGGACCACGAGATCTCGCAATCGAGTCACGTTTTATTTCCTCGTGAATGCTGTCTCGCTGTACCCTGCATTTCGAGGATTCGGCCAGTCGTAAAGCGTACCGCGGGATGGTTGTTTCTCGCTTTTACGCCTCTCGTAAATCGGTTTCTCTCACTGTGGATTATCGATCTCCCCTTCGGTTTCTCTTCCGACGAAACGAACTTTTCCTTGCTCGGTCCTGTCCGTACCCTCGGCATTAGCGTCGACGTTCCCTTAACTACACGCTTTTCCACCGAGGCAACACCGGCTTTCGGCATTCTCGGGGCATGCATATTGCATATGCACGTTGAATCTCAACTCTGCGATAGTCGGAGAATACGTAATACGCGGTGTTTTCTTTACGTTTCTCTTACGTTTGATCGTGCAACGGGATCGTGCACACGCTATCAGTGGTAATAATCAATGAGATGAAACGTGAGAGACGAGCATTCGAGTCATTCGGGAAGATCTGTGCTCGTTTCGCGAGATTTTTCTTTCTTCTTTTCTTTTCTTTTTTTTTTTTTTTTTTTTTTTCTTCTTGCGTTCGCAACAGGACAACGTTTGCATTTGCGATTATAAATGCGTGGTCGATGAACGGGGCTCACTGACAGGTACAAACATACGATCGAATACGTGAAGGTTTTGAAGACTGCATCAAGCAACAAGAATTCGGCAGTTGCGAGTAGTTACGTGTTTCGTTCGTCTGGCATTCGGCAGTTGCGAGTAGTTATGTGTTTCGTTCGTCTGGCATTCGACAGTTCGAACGCGCGAGATTCGAAGGTCGATTCGTTTCCAGTCTCGTAGGTTCTTGCAAACAGTAGCGCGATCTTAACACGAACGTGACCTGACAAGCTCGAGCTTCGTTTAAGGGGGAACGACACTGTAAGGGAAAGAAAAGGAAGAAAAAACAAATCGATATTTCTACATTCAAGACACATTTTGAGAAATTTGTAAAATTACAGAAGATGTGGCATTTTCCGTGAAACGGTGTTAATCGAGCTGCCCCTAAGTCTTGGTATTTCTCTCGAATGTACGAGGACATTAATAACGATAACCTTTCTTTACATTTTTTACCAAATTTGTGACCAAAAATGTCACTTCATTGTAGTTTCACTGTTCAAGCACGGAACAATTGCAGGTTAATATTGTATGAATATTGCAAAGATGTTGAACCAGAAATACATCTACAAAGTCGAGAGTGAAGCAAGCAAACAGATCATTTGCATTAGAAAATTAATACTTTCACAGTGGATGTGACGTATATACTTGACTTTGATTACTTAACAAAATATTAATACAAACGAGTAAATGAAAATGGAATAATTATATCAAGATATTCCCATATAAATTATTATTATTCAAATGATAATTAAAATAACTAGATCTATATTATAGAATTACATTTCTGCCCAAACAGAAATTAATATTAATTTTGACAAGAATATCTCTCTGTCTTTTAAGCAAAAACGAAGGTCTGATATCAGGCATATTGACAGATTCGATTGTTATAGTATTCAAATAATAAAATTGTATAATCGTTCATAAAACTTTTATAATGACAGTACATATTTCTTACATGCAACTGTCATTTCAAACATTCCGAAAGTGTTAAATGATAATTTTATGAATATGTGAAAACTACTACAGAACTGTCTGATTTTCTGTTAATTTTATGTGAAACTTTAATCGCGGTTTTCTAAAAAAACTATTGATAACAAATAAGAAAAGCTATACGTCCGACTGTGAATTCGACGATGAGAATCAATTATTTTAGGAAAAATCTGTCTCTACGTAGAAATGGTCAAATCTTTGTTTCTATTTTTTTTCTATTAGCAAAACCGTTTAATTTTCTTGGAAAAATTGAAAAAATTCTTTAGCATCCTGTTACTTCGTTATTCTTCGAGCTATTAAAATTTGCCTAGATGACGCCATAAAAATAACTATCTACGAAGTATTTTCGTTTCTCTCGATCATTATGGAAGATATACCGATTTTGCTGCAGCAAGCAAATCTTTGAAGATAAACACACACACAAAAAAAAAAAAAAAAATGAATGGAGAAAATTGCTTCAAAGATTTTTGCTTCATGTTCCTCGATATATAACGTACGTATAATAACCGGAATAAGTTCGAAATTGATTTACTTTCATCGTTCGTTTCAAAAAAAGTTTCCCGAGTACGTCTGCACACGTTTTTAGGCCGTTACAGTGTCTTGCCCCCTTAATCGTGACAATTGGAGGCTGTTAGTTTTATTCGACGTTCGTTTACATTGACGATATGTACAAAATGATGAGAGACACCAAAAGACAGCTCGAGGATAAAATCGGCCCCGCCGTTCCGGTCTGCATCGCTTCCGGTCGCTCGCCTGCAACAAACAAGTCACTCGTTCTCATCTTCCCGCAACACGGTCCACATTCGCTTTCGTCAAAGCGAGATTTCTTATTATTGCTACCTCGACGAGAGATACTGCGAGACTCTACGCGCGCAGAATGCTTTGTCCGATCGTCTTCTCGCGCGACGCATCCACCGGTCTTCCGATTAAATTAATATCGGAAGTTCCGGGATTCCTGGAAGTCAGCCTGTGGCGAACGGAGGCTTCACGGATCAAACGGCTTTCATTACGCTCAAACGTGGAGCGTAACAACTCGGTCACTCATTCTAAACGAGATTGCCCGCTCGCGGAAAATTTCCTCGCCGCGGTGTTGGCCGTTGATCGATCACGCGAGAGTTTACCGGCAAATTGAAAGAAGCCAGACGATTCTCCTTCTGCCAACGTAATTTTTATCCGTGAAAAGTTCTCGGCGCGAGGCGGTGCATCTCGGTTTCTTGACTTTTGAAGAAGCGAAACAAATTTTTCGAGAGGAGGAAACAAGTTTCTCACAAGCGATAAAACGAGGTATTTCAAGGAGCGAAAGTTTGGCGAAATTATTTGCGCTGCTCGCGGAACGTAGAAAAGAGTGACCTGAAATCATTCGTTCCAGCCCGGTCGGTAGAATCGCATCGAGAGTCGTTTTAATCAAAGCTCAAGGGATCTTCCGGAAGGGGAGAATTTCACGCGAAACGCGTAAAGGGAGAGAACAAGTTTCGAAGGGACATAAAGAAATATCTTCTCGGCGTTCCCGTGAGTTTTTTCCTCTTCTCCGCGATATTTCTCAATGGTCAGTTTGACCAGCAGCACAGTTTTGAAAGATTGAGAACCGTCGTCGCCTTTCTCTCTCTTCGTTAAACAACGCGACCGACTGCCGGAGTATTTTATGCGACGTATTGAAATGCAATTTCCGCTCGATTTCGATTCGTGCCGCCGCTTCCTAAGAATCCCTTGACCTGCGGACATTGGAATCCACGTAATTTACATGGGCTGAAATTTGTCGGCTGCAATCGACGCCTCCCATTGTCCGCCATAGAACAACTAATGTTCGCAGGGACAGTCGTATAATTTATCTTTGACGAGCAATTTCTCGTCATGGGATTGTTATGCAATTATATACGCGATAATTACATGTGAAAGAAACCAAGTCAGAGAGAAGGAATATAATTTTTGACAAACTTTTGTTTCCCGTTATCGAGAAAACCAAGTATGAAAGTTTATCACGTACTTGATAATTTGTAATCTACAGAGGGGATCATTTTCTGTCTGCGAAAATAAATCAAAAGTTCAGATATATGTATATATATTTTATACGACGATTCATATCGTCGTATAAAATTAAATCGTATAAAATATGTCAGAAAATTAATTTTGAAAATTTACCGAGTACACGTGCGCGAGGTCGATTTTTAATTAAACATGTTCGGAATCTATTCTCATGGAGACGTCGGTTATCAATTTGAAAAATCGTTGATTTATTTCTTTCGTACGTGGAATTCACTTCTGTCCAGATATATCTATTTAACAAATCTTTCAAACTCTTTCATAACCAAAGGAAAAACGTATTTCTAATCACGCGGAAAACACGATCGATGGAGGTGGCTTTTTTTTCTTTTTTTTTT